TTCATATGGAGTCTCCGCGTGCCTAACATGTCGCCAAGCTCGCTGAATGTCCGCTCGCAGTCTGCTGCTGCCGCCCGTATTGTGAGTATGTTAATAGCAAACTTAGAGAGTAATGGAAACTGTCTAGCAACTGACTCCCAGTAGAGCAGCGGGTTAAGCGATAGCCGATCCTCTTCAGCTAACGCCGGTTGCCGCCTCCAGATCTCATATTCATCCTCCCTCAGACCTGCCTCTACCTGCCGCAGATTGGTCTCAATCGACGACTGCAGAAAGGCTGATCGCGACGATGACAACCCCAGCCGGGGCTTCTTTTGCGGCGGCGTTACTGCGTCGGCTACGTCGACCGCAGCGTTGCTCCGCTCCTGCCACATTCGCAAGAACGCCCGATGGTTATTATCAAGCCAGCCATCGCGATAGTGGACGCCGTCGCGGGCGGTGATATGGGTGTTAGGCACCTTCCAGAGCGCCGCAAGGTGGTTTTTGTAGTGCGGGTGGAGGATCGTAGCGGCATAGTAAACAGGCGCGTTATCGAATTTTTCGTAGTACTCGGCAAGCTTACTATGCGCAAGGTTAACGTGCGTAACAAGATGGTCTTCGGGCGCGTCAAGATCTTCGTAATTAATGTCCTTAAGGCGGTCTTTGAGAGCCTCAAGCTGGTCAAGAAGCCATTCAAACGTTACTAAAACCTCCCATATAGCGCCGTGCCGGCCGTGTCGGCCGCGGCCTTCAAGCAGCCGTGTAGCTTCCGCAAATGGCTCGAGGAGTTAGATATACTCCGTAATCGTCGCCCAATCCTTGCCGCTTAGGCCACCCTCGCGTACATATAGTCGCGGCTGCGCAGCAGGCAGCAGCTCGCGGTTCTTCCGGCGTCGTGATGGTGCTGTTGCGGCACTGTGCTCCTTGAGTTTGAACTCAATATAGCTGTCGATAGGACCATATAGCTCGGCTGCGCGCACAAAAGTGTCGAAATAGCTATTCCAGCGCGTCTTAATAGGCTTAACAAGTTGCCGGATATTAGCTGTAACGCCTATCGCCTCTGCCTCGTCACGCTGTAGGCGCTCTAATAGCTGTCGAGTTTGCGGCGTGCAGATAGACGCGATTACGTCAAAAAGGACCCCAATAGGGCCGTACTTGCGCCACTCATCCATGTACTTTTCCTCGTCGTCAAGGTGAGCGGCGTCGTTCTCGTACGCGCTACGATCTTTACCCTAAATTACTAACTGCGCGCCTAGGTTGAGGATGTGGCAGCAGCAGCAGCGCAGCCGCCGCTCGCTTGCAGTAAAGTTGAACTCCTCTGCTAAAGACTTAACCGCAGTATCGTTGTTGCTTGCGTTGTCAAGCACAAAGTATCCGACGCTTGTGTCGTCAACACCAAATAGCCGCAGTATTGTCGCCGCTACTGAGGCAATATTATTGCCAGTGTGCGCCCCGTGGAGCTCAGGTAACCCGAGCAAGTGGTCAACTAGCTTGCCCTCGCCGTTAAGGTAGTGTACGCAGAGGCCGGTGAAAGCGTACCGTCCGCCAGTTGAGGTTCAGTTGTCAAA